TAAGGAAACCCAGCATATGAAAATCCAAACTTATAGGGCCTGGGGAAAAAATGGGAAATGGATGTTTATTTGCATTACCAAAAGACCAGCACTACAGGGCTCATTTATGTGCTGAACGTGCTGAGCTCAGAAAGTCACATGTAATTTGACTTGTATACACCCTTGAATATAAAAACAAGGACAGATAATCTCAGAACTGGAAGGAACATGGAGGTCACCCAATTTACCCCCTACTCAAAGCATGAATTCTCTCTATAGAATTCCTAACAAATTATTAGCTAGACCTAAAAAAAGAAAAAAAAGAAAGAAAACTTCAGTTATGGCAAACTCATTATTATTTGAGGCAGCACGTTCCGTTGGAGTAGGGGGGAAAGTTTAGGGGAGAGACAGTTCTAATTGTTAGAAAGTTTTTTTTTTAAATATCAGGTCAAAATCTACCCCTTTGTAGCTCACCCACTGATTCTAGTCTGTCCTCTGAGGCCAAGGAGAATAGGTACTATCTCGCATATCTGGCAGCCTTTCAAATGTTTGAATATTATTGTGTTTCCCCTTCTCCACCCCTAAATATTCCACCCTCCAGGTTACATGCACAATTTTTTTTTCCAAAATAATATATGTGAGGCAGTGGAATGATGTCAAGTTCCCTCCTCATACTGGACACTATCCTATGGACCCACTCCAGCCCTTCTATAATGTAACACCCGAATTGGACATGCTATTACAGATGTGGTCTAACTAGGGCAGAGCACAAGGGAACCATCCCCCCCACTTTATATACTTCTGTTCATGCAGTGTAACGTTGTATTTCCCCACTAAAGTCCTACTTGTAGCATGGAGATGACTCTGGGTTGTCAAAGTCTAAGGGAACAGCCCAACCTCTGGAAGGTATTACCAAGTTGGAAAACAAGATGTCTGTAATAGAAGGAGTAATTAAGGGGCCCCTCACCATAAAGCTGGCCACCAGGAGACACATTTTTTGACGACAGGAACTTCTGAGGTTTGTCTGTTAAGGGGTGGAAATGGTTGCAATGGAAGTAAATGATTAAAATCACAGCTCTTCAGAAGTATTTAAGAAGCTCAAATGAATTTTTTTGCAGCTTAGATCACACCACTGACTCATACTGAACTGGTGGTCTACTTAAAATCTGTAAGCTATTTTCACATAAACTTCAGTCTAGCTGCAAGTCTGCCATCTTGTACTCATGCAGTTGATTTTTTTTAAATCACGTAATACTTTATATATATTTTATGAAATGTGCTTTTGCTAACTTTTATCCATTACTGTAGCTTTCTAAAATATTTTTGAATCTCAGTTCTGTCATCCAATGTACTCCTGCAAGTTTTGTCTACAGATTTGATTAATCAGCATACTATTTATGCTTTCATCCAAGTCACTGATGAAAAAAAAATTCAATAGAACTAGGACACACTTAGAACCATTTGGAATATGACCACATGCCCAACTCCAACTTGACATCCATCCATTAATCACTACTCTCTGTATTTAATCAGTCAATTTTTGATCCCACCTGCCTTTATCTTTATATAATCTTTTTTTCTCCATTTCTTCCCCAAGTGTCACGTTATTATTATGTCAAATCAGATTATGCTCATCAGCATGAGCATAACAGAAAGAATTCTAAACTCAAGTCAGAAGATTCCTGAGTTCAGGCCCCATCTCTTATACCTGAGGGTAGGGACTGGTTTTTTCTTTTGTCTTTGTATCTGAAGCGCAGTATATTTGTTGTTGTTTAGTCATTTTTCAGTTGTGTCCAATTCTTTGTGACCCCATTTAGGATTTTCTTGGCAGAGACACTGAGTGGTTTGCTGAGGCAAATAGAGTTAGGTGGCTTGCCTAGGGTAACACGGCTAGAAAGTGTCTGAGGCCATATTTGAACTCAAGAAGATGAGTCTTCCTGACTCCAGACATAGCACTATGCACTTTACCACCTAGCTGCCCTCAGCATAGTATATAGTAAATGCATGGTATAGAGTACATAGTAAATGCTTAATAAATGCTTGTTTCATAGAATTGATCTCAACCTCTCTAAACCTCAGTTTTCTCATTATAAAATGGAAATAACATTCATACTTCTATCACAAAGGGTTATTGTGAAAAAACACTATAGGATTTAAAGGACTAGGTTAATGTTTGTTTTATTCTATTTGATCATTTTATATCATGTTAAAAAATATCTGGATGGATATTTGCAAGCTTAGTTTTAAGGGAAAGGTGACTAAGATATAGAAGAGATTCAAAATCAAATCATATGAGGAACATTTGAAGGAAATGAAAATGTTCCATCTACAAAAGAGAAGACCTGATGGGGAAAGAGAGGAACATATTGAAATGCCTTCAGATATTTGAAGAACAATCATGTAGGGAAATGACTTGTATTGGCTGCAAAGGGTAGAACTAAGAGTGAAAGGTTTGAGAAAACAGATTTTGTTTTGATACAAGGAAGAACCCCTTAACAATTGCAACTATTTGAAAATAGAAAGTACTGGTTGGTAAGGAAGTGAGGGGAATGGACTGAATGACCTCTAAGGTCTCCTCAACTCCAAGATTCTTTGGATTTCATAGGTTGGCTACTGTTTTTGTTCTATTTTGACTCTCCATGTTCAAAAATGAGTTTTCTTAAGGAAGTAGGAAAAAAGTATGAGAAACAATTGGTGGACAAATTATGTAATTTAAAAAATTTTCCAATTGGTGTTTTTATACATCATGATTCCAATGAGTTATTCTATTCTAAATGAGCATCTTTTAATGCTAGGAGTGGTGAATAGCTAGGCAAAACAATACATGCTCTTGAATTGCACTGTTGATCTCATTGCTCAGAGGAATTCTTTGCCTTGGAGAGTTCTCTGGTTGCATGGCTTCATCTTCAAGATGTTCTGTGCCTGGAAAACAAAAGTGAGACCTAATATCTCTACATTGTCTTTTTTTTCCAATCAGAAGCAATTAACTGATAACTCCTGAGCCAGGCTCTGTGGTGTGCATTCAGTTCACCTTCAGGGTCCCCTTGTTCTCTCCTGACTTCTCTAGTCTCAAGGCCATATGGTTGACTCCCTGAATCTAAAAGGTGAGAGGAAACCGACAAAATAATTGCTTCATTAGATATCATTATAGAAGAGGCTTTGGGCCTTCTTCAGGGAGAGAGGATTGAAACAGACACAACTGGAAATAACAACAGATCTTTAGAACTTCAAGACTAGCTCTCTGGAGCTTTGTTTTGGAGGGGCTTTATTTAGCCTCACCACTAGCCCACCAAGGTAGTTTTGTGTCTGTTACCATGGGAGCAAATCTTATAGAGATTCAACCTGTCAAGTCCCTCTGCAGGAATTGCAGGCCTAGCCTCTTTAGTGGCCCTAGCTACTAAAGACTCAAAATAGAGAATTCTTACCACCAAAATTTGCACTGGCAAATGGTTTAACATCAGAAATCAATATGGTTCCATCAGTGGAAATGACATTTAAGCTGCATTACCATGAGCTTTGTCAGTGCGCCTAAGGAACCACTGGGCTTTCCCATTTGACTTGCCACTGAAATCCCCTGGGTATGTTGTCTCCCCCAGTAGAATATACGCTCACTGAGAGCAGGGGCTGTCACACATTTCTATTTGTATCCCCAGAGCTTAGCATGTAATAAGTGCTTGAAAATGTTTTAATTAAATTAATTTAATTAGCTGATTCTTATATTAGATATTATAATTATATATATATATTATACAAATAATATATCATAATTATTAATAATTAAATTTAATTAATTAAAGTGATTAAGTTTAATTCACATGATTCAGAAACATTGCTTAAGCACAGAACTGTGCTAGAAGCCAAGAATACAAAAATAAAGAACAACACAGTTCTTGCCTTCAGGGAACTCATAGTCTATTTAGAGGAGGGAAAGGGAAGCAGCATAAGATACGACGCACACAAATAAATGTTATGCAAAACATAGCAAAGAAGATATCCAGACAACGTACTGGAGAGGGAACCGTGAAATCCGATTGGTACTATACAACATTTAATCACCTGCGTCTGTCCCTTTGCCCTGCCTTCCCCTTGTGCCTGGAAGTTACTCCCTCCTCATATCGGAGGCAGATTTGAACCTTAGACTTTCTAACACAAAATCCAGCACTCTAATCCACAACACACAGAGCCAGACTAGTGGCAGCAGAATGTTAGCAAATAGAAGGGCCCACGGCCCCTTCCCTGTAGTTACCATAGCTACAGTGGAACTACGGCCTGACTTGCCTGCTACATAGTACCAATTCTACTTCATGGTTTCCTTTCAGTTTTTTTTTCTACTTTCCTTATTTCCCCATTACTCAGCCCTAGACCCATAAACCCTCACCACTGACAGAAAGGTAGCTGCTGCCCAGTTATAGTTTCCCATACATTCTTTTCCATAGGCTTCTCTTCTATAAATAGGAGTGTCCTCTTCTAACATATGGGTCTGAGCATATTTCCCAAAAATGTAACTCCATTCAGTAAAGCCCAGACCTCAAACCAATTAGTCTGTAAGAAGCAGTTAGTCAGTCTCCATTGTTGTTGTGGAAGAAATGTGGGATTTGGATTCTGCCACTTCTTAACCTCTCTGAGCCTCAGTTTCCTCATCAGATGGCCTCCCATCTGCCCTAGTTCTATGATCCTGTCTACATAGCTCCCTGCTCCAGGCTTTCCAGAGGATCCTTAGAGACCCTTCTGTGGACGCTTGTTGATCCCAGGTGGGAGTTTCCACCAGAAGTGCCCCATAGCAACAGGATGCTGCCTTTTTTTTTTTGTAATTTTTTCCCCTTGAAAGTTAAAAAAACTAATCTGAGTTCTAAATGTGAAGGGATGGTTCATAGACCTAAAGCAAATTTATCTAAGCCTGGGTTCTGCCATGTATATACTTCACATTAATCTTAATTCAAGCTTAAGCTGCTGGTCCTCACTGCATTTCATGGTTTGACCACGTGGTTTCTGTTTCTCTGTGTGTATGTGTCTTTTCTTAGTGGGCTCTTTATCACCATTCATGACAAAGGCCACATTGCCACGATGCTGAACTCCTGGCCGGAAGACAATATTAAGGTACAGTCCTCTTTTCCTTGCTGTTGTTTGGATGGTGGGTGAATCATTAAGCCTCAGCTGTAGAGCCGACAGACCTCTCTAGATTTTAAACTGGCTGTTGCCTGAGCTCAAGGCAGGACAACATCAGAAACCCAGGAAATAGGACTGCTTCAGAACAACAGAATATTTGGGATTATCTGACCAGCCCAAGCAAAAGTTTCCTTTTCTTCCTTTGAGAGCACATGAGATCTTTTCTTTATTGTTTCTTTTCTAAAAAATGGGGAAAGCAAAGTTTTAACCTCTCTCCAGAGGTCCCTAGTTCTGGGAAGTCCAAGTAGTAAAAGGAGCATTTCATAGTTAAACACGGACACACACACACATAATCACAACCCAGTGAGAAAAGTCATGCTAGTATTCTTGTCATCCCTATTTTACAGATGAAAAAACTGAGGTTTGGGGAGATAAGGTGAATTTCCCCACAGTCACACAGTTAATATGAGTGCCAGAATCAGTATTCCAACCCAGATCCTCTTGACAACAAGCCCACTATATTACAGGGTATCAGGTGCATGTATTTGAAAGGAGAAGGCTAGAGAGGAAGACCATTTTATTATTATTTATTATGTTTTTCTCATAGAATTTCAGAATCTCAGAGCTGGAAGGAACTGAGTTTTAATCATACTTGATCATAACTAAACCTCACAGTACCCCAGACAAATGATAATAATCTTCAACAGCTTTACTATTGGGATGTTTTCTATATATTTCACCCAAAAGTTTGCCTAGGTAGCAAGGTTGCCCAGGAGATAAAATGCTGGAGTCTGGAGTCAGGAAGACCTAAATTCAAATCCATCCTCAGACACTTAGTAGCTGTGTGACCATGGGCAAGTTACTTAACTTCTGTTTGCCTCAGTTTCCTCCACTGTAAAATGGGGATAATAATATCACCTACTTCACAAGGTTGTCGTGAGGATCAAATGAGATGATGTTTGTTAGAAGTGCTTACTTAGCACAGGGCTTGGCACGGAGTAGGCACTATGCAAATGCTTATTCCCTTCTCCTTTCCCCCTCTCTGCTACTTCTGTCCACTGCTGCTTGTTCTGTCCTATGGCCAAACAACAAAAGGCTAATCCCATTTCCACACGCCCCTTCAGATGCTTGAATACAATTACCGTGGTCCCCTGATCCTCACTGGGCTTCCTGAAGTGAATCATTTTATGGCCATGGCACCATTCTGGTTTTTCTTCTCTAAATGTGCTAAAAGTTGGCAAACTGTCAACACTGGGGAAAGCCAATAGAATATAAGAAACCCACATGGACATATCTGTAGTTACACTGGGTGGGCACTGGGCTTAGGAGTCAGAGATCTTAGATTCTGATCCCAACTCATACTTAATAGCTATGTGACTTGGGCAGGTTGTTCAGCATCGTTGAGATTCCTGGTCTATAAAAATGAGGATGCTAATACTTATGTGGTCTACCTAATTAATAATAATTAATAATATAGAATAATATTATATATTATAATAATATTATTATATAATATATAAAAATATGATAAGAATAATTAGTAAGAATAAGAAGGGACCTTAGGGAAGATCTAATCAAACTCCTTCAATTAACAGGTGACAAAGGTAGAATCCCATCAGCCATCTTTCCTTCCTCCTTTCATCTCACTAGTACCCTGGCTTTTCAACTTCCTTTTAATGTGATGTCTTCCCCCATTAGAATGTGAGGGCAGGGAGCCAATATGGTGAATTAGAGGCTACCCAGCAGAACTCTCTCAACATTCCCCTCCAGGCAACTTCAAAATAACACCTCCAATCAAATTTTGAAGCAGCAGGGCTAACAAAAGGTCAAGGTGAAAAATTATTCAAGCCTAAGAAAATTTAAGAAGTCAGCAGGAAAAGTTTATGACATCAGGTAGAGAGCTGTCTGGAGCCCATACGTACAGCAGCAGCAGCAGCAGCAGCTTCAGGAGCTCTCAGCTCAAAGAGAGTAATGGTGTCAGACAACTGGTCAGAGAGAAATTAAAGAGGACCCTTTGCTTACTGGGTACATCTGGCACTGATTGGCAACTGTTTCCAAACACAATTCTGGGTCACTGTTCCAGAGAAGAGGGTAGTGCTAGGGGTCTGTCACAAGGGAGAAGGGGCCCTAGTCCCAATTCTAAGGCAGAGAGAAGTACTAGAGTTTGTGGCTGAAGGGGAGCAGGGGCCCTTCCTGGGTAAAGGCTACAGTACAGACTAGGAGAGCTGTGACTACACCTCTCTCAGGATCACACCACCTTGGAACCACCACCGACCCCCAGAACTAGCTCTGAAAATAGCAGTGCAAAAAAGCCTGAAGTTTGCAGCACCTCCCCACCCCCAGAGAAGAAAAGCCCAACTTTAATATAAAGTTCAAAGTCAAGAAATAGGTTAGAAAAATTATTAAACAACAACAACAAGAGCATTTTACCATAAAAAGCTACTATGGTGGTACGGAAGACCAAGACATAAACTCTGAAGAAGACAACAATGTGAAAACAGCTCCAAAGCCTCAAAGAAAAATGCTAATTGGACCCAAGCCCACCAAGAATTCCTGGAAGAGTTAAAGAAAGTGCTAAGAGTGGTGGGGGAAATTGGGAAAAGAGATGAGAGTGATGAAAGGAAATTATGAATAGAGAATTAACAGCTTGGTTTAAAAAAAGGCACAAAAATACTGAAGAAACTATCACTTTAAAAAACAGAATTGGCCTGAAGCTTGGGACAGTACATTCTCCACATTGGAAGCAGACTCTTACCTTAACAAAGAGTTTAAAACTCAAGTAATTGGCCGGGATCATGAGCAAGCAGCGCAAAAAGACTCAGACTATATTATCTTACTTTGGTGACAAAGAAGATCAAAATATGCAACCAGAAGAAGACAACAAAGTCAAAGCTCCTACATCCAAAGCCTCCAAGAAAAATGTGAATCAGTTCCAGGCCTTGGAAGAGCTCAAAAGGGATTTTGAGAAACAAGTAAGGGAAGTAGAGGAAAAACTGGGAAGAGAAATGAGAGTGATGCAAGAAAATCATGAAAAAACAAGTCAACAGCTTGCTAAAGGAGACCCAAAAAAATACTGAAGAAAATAACACCTTAAAAAATAGCCTAACCCAAATGGCAAAAGAGGTCCAAAAAGCCAATGAGGAGAAAAATGCCCTAAAAAGAAAAATTGGCCAAATGGAAAAGGAAGTCCAAAAGCTTACTGAAGAAAATACTTCCTTAAAAATTAGAATAGAGCAATTGGAAGATAGTGACTTTATGAGAAATCAAGACACTGTAAAACAAATCCAAAAGAATGAAAAATTAGAAAACAATGTGAAATATCTCATTGGAAAAACAACTGACCTAGAAAATAGATCCAGGAGAGAAATTTAAAAATTATTGGACTATCTGAAAGCCATGATCAAAAAAAGAGCCTAGACATCATCTTTCAAGAAATTATCAAGGAAAACTGCCCTGATATATTAGAACCAGAGGGCAAAATAGAAATTGAAAGAATCCACAGATCTCCTCCTGAAAGAGATCCCCAAAGGAAAACTCCTAGGAATATTATAGCCAAATTCCAGAGTTCCCAGGTCAAGGAGAAAATATTACAAGCTGCCAGAAAGAAACAATTCAAGTACTGTGGAAACACAATCAGGATAACACAAGATTTAGCAGCTTCTACATTAAAGGACTGCAGGGCATGGAATATAATATTCCGGAGGGCAAAGGACATAGGATTACAACCAAGAATCACCTACCCAGCAAAATGAGTATAATCCTTCAGGGGAAAAATGGTCATTCAGTGAAATAGAGGACTTTCAAGCATTCCTGATGAAAAGACCAGAGCTGAATAGAAAATTTGACTTTCAAATAGGACTCAAGTGGAACATGAAGAGGTAAACAGGAAAGAGGAATCATAAAAGACTTATTAAGATTGAACTGTTTACATTCCTGCATGGAAAGATGATATTTATAACTCATGAGACCTTTGTCAGTATTAGGGTAGTTGGAGGAAAAAAATTATGTGTATGTATATATAGATAGATAGAGGGCACAGGGTGAGTTGAAGATTAAGGGGTCTTATCTGAGGAATAAAATTAAGGGATGAGGGAGGATTATACTCAGAGAAGAAGAAAGGGAGAGGTAGAATGGGGTAAATTATCTCACAAAAAAAAAGAAAAAAAAGGCTCTTACAGTGGAGGGGAAACAGGGGAAGGTAGAGGGAATGAGTGAATCTTATTCTCATAGGATTTGGCTTAAGGAGGGAATAACATACACATTCAATTGGGTATGGAAATCTGTCTTACCCTACAGGAAAATAGGGGGAGAAGGGGACAAGAGAGCAGGGGGATGATAGAGAGGAGGCAGATTGGGAAAGGGTAATCAGAAGTAAATACTTCTGAGGAGGGACAGGGTCAAAAGAAAGAATAGAATAAATGGGAGGGCAGGATAGGATTAAGGGAAATAGAGTTAGTTTTTCACAACATGCTACTATGGAAGTGTTTTGCATAACTGCACATGTACAACCTATATTGAGTTGCTTGCCTTTTCAATGAGGGTGGGTGGGGTGGGAGGAAGAGAGGAAATCTGAAACCTAAAGTTTTAAAAACATGTGTTTAAAAAAATGTTTTCACATGCTACTGGGAAATAAGAAATACAGGAAATGGGGTACAGAAGTCTATCTTGCCCTACAGGGAAATAGAAGGGGAAGGGGATAAGAGAAGGGGGGGGAAGAGATAGAAGAGAAGACAGAGTAGGGGAAGGGATATTCAGAATGCATGCCATCTTGGGGTGGGGGGAGGGGTGAGATGGGGTGAAAATTTGGAACTCAAAAACTTATGGAAGTATACAAAAAACATAATAAATAAATTTTTAAAAAGGTTAAAAAATAAAAAAGAAACAGAATTGGCCAAATGGAGAAAGAGGTACAAAATCTCACTGAAGAAAATAATTCTTTAAAAATTAGAATTGAAAAATAAAAAAAAATTTTTAAAAAGTGGAATTGGGCA